TTGGGGAAAAGCAGGTGGTTTCATTGCCTTAACACTTTTTTCCTGCCTCAGTAACTTCCTTTCTGGGACTACTGGAGAAGAATCATTTGACCACTAATGTGAGGTCCTAGAATTGGCATGAAGTCTCCGCCTCAGGTGTTTCTGTCCCCCGCCTAAGTGGGGGGCCAAGAGCAATAATAGCCCTTCACCTTGGGAAGGCCAACCTTGGTTCCCAATGTCAAAGAGAAGAGTCAGCTCAGGTGGACCCTTGACCATGCTCTTTTTTTTTTTTTAATAAATTAATTTTTATTGGTGTTCAATTTACCAACATACAGAATAACACCTTGACCATGCTCTTGAGGCTGGAGGTGGTGGTTGGGTCTACATAGATGGATGAGTGAGGTCTGGCTCAGGTAGAGAAGCTTTGTCTTGGCTCTAGGGGATTTACTGCCATCAGTAGGAATCTCAGTGATCATTGAGATAAAGCCTCTCTCTTGTATTCAAGTAGCACCTGAGCCCTTGAAGGGGTGATTGGCTCTGATATTGGAACCCAGGCTTCCTGCTTCCTGTGCCAGTGCTCTTTTCTCAGCATCCACCTGGAACCTGATTTTTCTCCTTAACTGGAGTCTGGATTTTTATCCTCAATTGGATGTCCTGGGTAAGTTTACTTTTCCCAAAACTTGCACCATGAAACAATAGTCCTCCAAAATAGAGTGTAACTAGCAGGCTTAGGGTCACACAAATTTAAGGGGCAAGGCTCCCCCAGAGAGTTGGCATACCGACTTCTCAAAAGCTTAGAAAGTACTGCAGAACCTGTTTAACTTTGTTCAACACAACGTATGCATGACTTTTTAAGCACATATTCCTATTTTCATAGCAGCTTCTCGCCCCCACAGAGCTATTGACCTCCAGACTCATTTCAGAAATATTAATTTAAGTCAGCAAAGATGGCTTTGTTAGTTCTAAGAGACAGCAAAACAACCCAAGCACCTGAATTACCTGCCCAATCAGATGCTCTTTTCCCATCAATCAAAAGTATGTATTATTATTTTTTAAAGATTTTATTTATTTATTCATGAGAGACACAGAGAGGCAGAGACATAGGCAGAGGGAGAAGCAGGCTCCCTGCAGGGAGCCCGATGTGGGAATTGATCCCAGGACTCCAGGATCAGGACCTGAGACAATGGCAGATGCTCAACCACTGAGCCACCCACGTGTCCCCCAAAAGTATATATTAATATTTACTATTGGTAGGAGGCCCAAAGGAGCGGTAGAGACAGGCAGGGCTCAGTCCAAGCTACGCAGGTCTGACAAGGCTCCTCAAAGGTGGTGAGTTCTAGTGACACATCTGTACCTATCTCATCTCAAATGGAGAACAACACCATCTACTCATTCTGTTCCAGGACCTGGGTGAGGAGCAGTCATTTACTCTTAGTAGCACACTTTGATCCCCTCCTTGAAAGCTCTCACATACTGGAGGCACTTTGTGGGGCAGAGGATGGGAACGGAGACAGACGCCTTGGAACAGGGATACGCCCATCAACTAAATCCTCTGCAGGTGGGGTGGGGCTGAGGGCAAGAATGCTGCAGAAGCAGTGTCAGGTAAGAGCTAAAACTACAACAGAGAAGCCTTTCAAATCTGGTGTGAAGAGCAAGCAAAGGCCATACACGTGACCGATATGACCCCCGAGGAAAGAGCTCCGAATTTTTAAAAAATATATTACATGGAAACAAATGTTTGAAAAATAAACATTGCTAGAAGCTTTGCTTCCTATGTAAACCTCAGCTAAGGTTTATCTTTACCTACATTCATTTGCCTTATATTTAATACAATATTTCATCTTTAACAGAAAGAGAATAAAATCTGCCCTTCAGGGTAAATGATTGAATTCATCAAGTAAAAATATTTAATGGAATCAAATGCACTGCGATTCAAAATAGGGGCTCTGGAGTCCCCAGAGCAGGGGTTTCCATCCTCGCAACACAGTTTACCAGCCACATGTGTTCAGCAAGCTTGTTCACGTCTTGGAAACCTCAATTCCTTTCCCCTCAAGCTGGTCCTCAGGACTGTTGTGGAAGCTGAATTACAATACATGTCATGGTTAGCCCGGTGCCCAGTTCATAAATGGCAGTGGGGTTGATAAAAGTCATAATTGAAAAAATAATCATTAATAATAATTATTTAATAATAAGAATACTAGTAACAACCTACCAGCATTATTTTATATTATAATGTACTACTACCATTATTACCGTAATAATTATAATAACAGTAATACTAATACCAATAAAAGATAGGAACGGGGGAGAACCACTTTGGAAAACTGGCTAAATATTTGCATATGGCTCAATAATCCCATTTCCCAAGTCTGTGTGTGTCTAAATACATCCAAGTTATATTTTTATGTCCCCACCTTGTAACTGGCCATGGCAAGGTAGCTCTGGCATGGGCCCCGCAGCCCTGGACACAGACGTCGTCAGGCCGCCTGGTGCTAGGCCCGCTGTGCAGCCACGGAATCTGGGCTCCTGCTCTTTCCTTCCAGGTCCACCACACTGAGCCTCGCATACAGCACCTCATTTTTCTTACATAGACAATAAGTCTGTGCTTCTCCCTTGGGGCTCCCTGCCCTCTCTCTGTCTTTCCCCATCTGGACTAAAGCTCCAGGCCTTTCTGAAATCCCTCTTCCTTGTCACTGTGTTCCAGACCCATCCATCACAGCAGAGAGATGCTACCCTGCCAACAAATGCCTCTGTTTGCCTCTGCAGCTCCACAGGGCAGGAGAGAGGCCTTGCTGCTCCCGGTGTCCTGGTGGGGACCAGCGCAGGGACCAGCCGAGCAGTTTTGTCTTGCCCCGTCTTCCTGGAGGACAGAGACAGACTTTGCTTTGGCAACACTGAGTGGCCTGAGGTCCCATGTGATGCACGAGTTGATGCAAAGCCATCCAGGGGGAGCCTTCCTGGGGTCCAAGGGCCATAAGTCACAGTAGAAGGAGTGTAGTCTTTGGGGTCAGACAGAGCTACGAACATACTCTGCTGACCACCAGTTTGGAGGCTTTACCCAATTCTGAGCCCATATTTCTTCCTAAAATACATGGTCACAGCCCCTAACTCCAGGGTTACTGTGAGAAGAAGTAAATGTAGTAACATCCACAAAGCCCCTTGGCCTACACCACCTGGCCCATAAAAGATGCTCTATAAATGTACCAAACTGAGCCCGTTGCATCTAGGTTGGGTTGACAGGAAAAGGACCCCTAGGATAAGACAAACATCTGGGAACTCCAAAATAGAGACGATACAGAGGAGAGAGGAAGTCTTCAGGCACGTGAGGGGGCCATCTGTCACCAGCTAAGTGCCGGGAGGAGATGGTGGCATCAAGGTCAGAGCTCGAGCTCTCGACTCCATCTGCAAGGGTTCAAATCTGGCCATCAGCTGCCACCAGCTCTGTGCCCCTGCCCTGACTACGCATCCATCCTCATTTATAAAACAGGGTTGCGATTTCCTCCTCATATGGTTGTTGTGATGATTAAGTGAGTAACTGGTTTATTGGCCAACTAGGCTGGGCAGGTGCTGGGGAAATGGCACTGTCCACTCAAGTCCACGCTGCCACACCGTCCCCTGCCCTGGACCTAAGCCCCTAAACCACATGCCCTCGATAAACACCTCTCCCGTCACTTTCATGCATCCATAAAGACATTTTCAGAAATGAAAAAGCCCTGAATTCTTCTCAATCAGAGCTTCAGACCCTCTTTTGATTGAAAGCTTCTCCATCTACCACTGCTGGGGTCTGGTTCGGGCTCACCAACCCGCAGGGGAAGGAAGTGGAGGTGGGCAACCCTGACATTTACCCACCCTGCTCTTCTGCTCCTCCTTACAATGCCCCAGTTGGGGGGCGAGGGGAGGAAGGGGGGGACCTTGCCTCACTGGTACAGTTGGAATCTAGCACAAGAGGCACCAAATGCTGCCTCTTTCTCACGGGATGCTCTGGTGGGTTCTTTGGAGACCACACACCCTCACTGGGCAGAGCTTTTGAGCAGAGTCTCAAAATACTCAAGCCTGGCTCCCAGCCCACCGCACTGCAGCTGACCCCAGGTACCCACCCAGCACACCCTCTGCAGCTACTTCTCTCTGCTCCGCTTCAGGGAACCCCCCAACCCACATCTATCTGTCCTGTAGATAGGGTCCCAGCTCTCTCAACCTTGGTGCTGTCAGCATTGGGTGGGCATTCTTTGCCCTGGGCCTGTTCTGGACAAATGTTGAGAATTCTTGACCATAATGTAATGTCCCCTTGGGGACAGAACTGCCCCTAGTTGAAAACCAATGGATTAGAGTCTCCCAGGCAAGAGTTAATCAAAAGTGTCTGTGGTTTCCAAATTCCAGGAGACACTTTCAGGTCCCTGAACACTTGGCTTAAAGAGGCACTCACCCCTCCCCTCCTCTAAATACTCACTAGACCTTTTCGTGATCATCCCACACTTTCTGTTTCTCGTAGCCAAGAGGGAATGATGAGCCAAGAGTGGCCAAACCTGGTTTGGGTCACACACACACACACACACACACACACACACACCTCCCCCCTGCAACCCTGCACAAATGGTTGTTTTCTTTTTGGTCGGTTGGCGAGCATTTGTCACTTTTTGTGCTCAACGATGATCACAACTGGGGACACACTCTATTCGAGCACAGCAGCTGGACAGGAAAAAGCATGCTGAATATTAGGTCCAGGGATATCATAACTGATTTTTTAAAAAACCTACATTGAGGAAAATGTACTTACAAATATTTTGAGCATATGCAGCTTACTTAATAAAATTAGATTTTGAGGCTGGGCCTGAACTTTTCCACTGGATAAAAGTTCTATGTCCTCCTGCCAGGCCTCTCGTTTCATTGCGTACTTTGGCATAAGTGGTAAGTCATCCCAGCACCCTCTGGTCCTCTCCCATAGCATGAAAGGGAATGTGGGGAGGGGGGGAAGCCAGCCCAGTGGGCAGGAAGAAAGGAAGACAAGGGAATAAGGACAGTAATTATTCTTACTCCTTTTTATTTTCCATCAGTCACCTCAAAAAGCATCTACATACAGGAATGTTTTTCTAAATGATGGCTTGGTTTCCATTTCAAAATAGCAAATCTGGTGTCAGGAAAAACATAAGACATGTAGCTTGATAATATTTTATTGTCAGGAGCATAAAAGAAATTCAGTATTGAACCTTCGGAGCAAGAAAAGAATCGAACCTATTTACAATGAGTGCCAGAGAAGACGTAGGCGAAATCTTCAGCACATGTGTTCTTTTGGTAGTGAATGAACCTGTGTACTTGCAGCATAGAGAACGTAACAGACCAGCTTCACAAATGACTACAAATGTAAGTTCCTAACTAGCTATGCACCATAACTAACCCCAAACACACGTGTCAAGGCAGTGAGAAGACTCCAATTGCTGTTGTTCTGTTTTCCAAAGGCACGATTAGCTCCTTTCCCCTTCCCACTATCTCATTAGACGAAGGGACAAGTTCCTTCAACACCCAAAACTCTCTTTCATCAGCTACTCTAAACACCCCCTCGTGCTTGAAGTCCCTGATTGTCAGACACCCAAAGCCTTGTTAGACCTGTCAGCCTTCCCTGCCATGCGGTGGCCTGCCACCCACCAAGAGACCAGGTGGATTTTTGGTCTAAAGTGGATTTTTTATAAAACCTAACCTCCCCTCAAGGTGCTGCACTTCAGCTACTATACTGTAATTCCCTTCCAACATTTCAAGAAGTTCTGAAAACAGAAAGATTTTTCATAAGCTGGTGGCACAGTTATTTGGCAGTAAAACCTGACACTTATGGGCTGCTCAGAGTCTTTACCCATTTTGTGTGAATATTCTTTGTTTCCTGGCAGAAATATTAAGGTGTTGGTTTCTAGGGTGCTGTCCCAGACTCTATCAATGAAGTTCCTTCCATAATAGTATGTGCAACATGTTAGCTTTCTAAAATCCCAAAAAGTTAGAGTTGGAAGAAAACACGGGTACCAGAGTTTAAGCAAAAGGAGCTGCAGACCTACAGCAGCCTAAACATGTGCCCAAGTTTCGCTGGAGCCAGGAAAGATTTGTGGATCTCATGTGCCAGTTTCTATAGCCTTTCAGGGAAGTGAGAATGTCTAGAATATTCTGCATCCCAGTGAAGGAAGGCGAAGCTTTAAAATCCTCTAGATCCTCCTTACCAGAATTTTTGTTGTGGAAGACTGCACTCCTGCCCATAACCCTAGATACTTCGGCCAGTAACAGATACATATTTTTCCTCTAAGGTAACTCCTTTCCATTAAAAGAACTGTGTTTTATGTGGGGTTATGGGGGGAGAATAAAAGAAAGGATTGGAATAGAAGGGCTTATTAATGTGAGGGCTACACATGTCAAGTACCAGCTGCTTCCTGATCCAGCAATATGAACAATTTATTGTATTTAGAAAGTGATTCTTTGGATGCAGAGTTTAAAGAAAAGTTAGGTGGGACTTAACCTGGGCTCTGCCACTTAAGGAGAACAGAACTTGCCAAAGAAAATGATGTTTCGCGTTTTGTTGTGCCTGATGATGTAAATAAATGGGTGGTCGGCATTGAATTCATCCTTGTGTTGAAGGATTCGTGATCCTGGCACCTCTATGGAATCCCCACCATCTTCAGTTATCTCTAAGCATACTCTGTGAATAACATTGGAGAGAGCCACTCCCTTGGTCTCTGACATTCCAGAGAAATCAGACGTATTCTCATTAAAGATATTTTTCAGCCCTAGGTTTTCCAGACTAGCTTTGGGATCAATGATCTTTTCCACCTTAAACTTGGGAATGGAGAGTTTGACTTTGGCGTTGGCCATGGTGCTGGGATTGGTCCACTGCAAGAGCGTCTCAGAGTTGAGCTGTTGTTCAACCTGCAGGACCAAAAGGAGAGGAAATTATTTTTGTATTCATAGTAGTAAAAGACCCTGCTTGATTGAAAACAGAAAGTGAGGGGCACCTGGGTGGCTCAGTGGTTGAGCTTTGGCTCAGGTCATGATCCCAGAGTCCTGGGATCAAGTCATACATCGGGCTCCCTGCGGGGAGCCTGCTTCTCCCTCTGCCTGTGTCTCTGCCTCTCTCTGTGTCTCTCATGAATAAATAAATAAAATCTTAAGAAAGAAAGAAAGAAAGAAAGAAAGAAAGAAAGAAAGAAAGAGCCATTGTGAGCCTAGTTTTGAAGCAGTGCAGATGGACCACCGAAAATGGAGTCAGCCCTGCAGTTTGGGTATGTGACTAGTTTCCCTTATCAAAGATGCACCCAGCCCCCCAGCACTGCTCTTCTGCACCCCACCCTCCAACAGTGGTCCGTTCAAACTAAAATGTCTGAGGGCATTTCTTTGAAGCTGTAGAGTAGAAACAAATGCATGGGTGATGATGTTGCATAAGTAATAGAGAAATGAATATAAAATTAGAAGGGTTTTTATACAGACTATTTCTTGAATGTTTATTTTAACTTCTCTACTAGGAGATCCAGAATACTCAAGTCCTTGGCATGGCATCAAAATTAGTAACTCAAATTAAAGCTAAAGTGACTCTTTCTAAAATGAGAACTTGAACTGTCTATGGTCATTTTTGAAGACGAGGGGTGATGAATGCATCCATTTTAGCTGGTGATTTTAGAAATGAGAGATAGGCAATGACGCATAAAATGGTCTAGTCATAAAATTCTTCATTGAGCAAATCTTAGATTGCTCCTTGCCCTGCCAACCTCCCCACTGGCTAGAGGAGAAATGCCTGTAGGACAGAAAATGACTGACTATTACTCTAGTAATTTTAGTATTACTAAATACTAATTACTCTAGTATTACTCTAGTATTACAATACCCTGACTATTACTCTATCATGGGGCATCTCTGCATTGAAGTTACTCACCTGAAACCCATAAAAATTAGTAACATGGCAAGATCACGGACTGGGCACAAGTTTGTTTGTTTTGTTTTCAGTTGAGGAGGGTACCATTGGATTCTCTTGTTCATCTATGGGTAGTTATGTTTTCAGTGACTACAGTTTCATTTACAACAAGTTATTAGGACCAAAAGATTGACATAAGTGACTAGAATTTTGGAGCCAAAAAGTATATTCTCTTGCCCACGTACTATCTGGAAATGATGAGAGGGAAGAAAATTCACCCATAACTCAAAAAGACTACTCAGAGGGGGGAAAAAAAGCTTTTTGCTCCTCCATTATATATGTGTTATGAGTCAAATTGTACACCCCCCCCAAAAAAAAAAAACAAATTCATATATTGAATTCCTAACTCACAGTACCTTAGAATGTGACCTTATGTGGAAACAGGATCCCTATGGCTGTCATTAAAACGCGTTCAATAGGATGAGCCCTAACCTGATATGACCGGCGCCTTTATACAAAGGAAAATTTTGGACACACACACAAAGAAGAGTCATGTGAAGACGGGCTAATATTGAAGTGAAGTATCTACAAGCCAAGGAATGTCAAAGACTGCCAGCTCATCTCCAGAAGCTGGGGAAGAGACATAAAACAGCCTCCCTCACAGCCCTCAGCAGGAACCCATGCTGAGCTCAGATTTCTAGCCTCTGAAACTGTGAGAGAATAAAGTCCTGTTGTTTAAGCCACTGAGTTTGTGGCAGGTCATTATGGCAGCCCCAGGAGACTACCGCTACACATATTCTTGAATTTCCCCGAGGCCCAAGAGATCAGTTTCTTCCATTCTGTACTTTAATCAGAAAAAAACCGGCATGAAGGTGTTTCCCAAAAGGGAGAGTGCAAGGATTGTAAAAGAAAAGAGACCAACACATGGAATAGAGTGAGAAAGAGAAAGAGCAGTGAATAAAAGAGCAATGAAGTTCAGTGACGGATAAAGTTTAACAATCACTAAAGCAACAAGCAGGTCAGAGACTGACTCAGATCTAGACTGTCCCCCGGAAAGTCAAGGGGGAACTGAAGCATGACTGGAAACAAAGCAGGTGACCTCTGGGTCCTTCAAAGAGCCCATCCTTCTCCCTGGCCTAAGGCAGAGGCCCAGGTGAAGGGGAGCTGGGAAGGCTGGGAAGGGAGGGCTGGGGGTAGGGGGGACAAGGGGGGTTAGGTAGGTGTCCAGGGTAGCTGGATGGGGCTGCCAGCATAGAGGGGAAGCTACAGCACCATTCACAAGTAAATGAACCTCTATTTAAACCTTGTGCCTCTAATAACCTACACAAAGGATGAAGCATAATAAAATCTCATATATGTATATGCATTAAAAGAGCTTCTCAGGGGCATCTGGGTGGTTCAGTGGTTGAGTGTCTGTCTGTCTTTGGCTCAAGTCATGATCCCAAGGTCCTAGGACTGAGTCCGAGTCAGGCTCCCCACAGGGAGCCTGCTTCTTCCTCTCTCTGTGTCTCTGCCTCTCTATGTGTTGCTCTCATGAATAAATAAATAAAATCTTTTTTAATTTAAATTTAAATTTGAAAAAATAAATAAAAGAGGTTTTCAAAACCTGTAGAATGTATGACACAAAGAGTCAACCCTAAAGCAAACTGCAGACTCTGAATAATGTGTTGAGAACTGGCTCATCAGTTGTAACAAATACCACACTAACACAAGACACTAATAACAGGTACTGGAGGCTAGATTTAGAACACAGATTCCAACTTCCTGGGCTCAGGTTCCAATTCTACATGCCACTGACAAGTTACATGACCATGGACCAGTCACCCCTCCCCTGCTGTGCCTCAGCATCTTTGGTCAACAATAGCCCAGGGATAGCTTTTGATGCATAGATGAGAAACCAGTGAGCAGGTGCATATGGGGCTTCACAGCTCCCGGCCCATCACAAGTGCCAAGTAAATGTTGACTGTTTTAATATTAAAGACAAAGGGAAAGCACCACAAGACCCTTGGAGATGACAGAGCAAGTGACGTGTAAGGCAGGGAAGTGTCACAGCCACACACAGTGTGGCCCACATGGCTCCATGTCAAGGCAGGTGGAGCCTTCATGTTGAACACTCGCCTCCCTCCTCACCTTCTCCAGGCCTGTGGACTCATCCTCCACATCCTTGGGTAGCAGAATGAGCATGCTCAGGTGCTTATTTTGGAAGGGAAGCTCTATGATCTTACAATTGATACCATCAACGTTGCCCATACAGAACGTGGCCTCCATACTCATCATCTGCACTGGTTTGGTGTCCGTCTGTAAAAGGAGAAATTTGGACCATTTGCTTTTCAAGTGACACAAGCATAAATACACACACACACACACACACACACACACACACACACCAGACATTTGTTCTTGTTATAGTTTCAGACCATTATGGTGCAATCCCTCACCTGGACCCAAACCATCACAGACTAGCCCCTGGAGAGTTAATGACTTTCTTCAAAATGTCATTCACATGCCTAATTTCAGTGTATTTCAGGAATGATACATAATACTGTACTTGCTTATATAAAACATTAAAATAAGACAATATGACTGAAAATACAGGCAAACTTAGACTTCATCTTCATAGGTCTCATCATTACAAGCTCTATAAATCATTCCTGGTGGAGCTGACTTGAAAGTAAGTTCTAGTGCCAACCATGAATCTACTTACGCAGCTCTTCCTACTAGAATCCCTAATAGAGAAAACTCAGCAGATAGCAGGACGACCATCACATTTGTTTTGTCCCCTGGTCCCCTTTGGTTTTATTACCCTCTTTCTGTACAACTGCCCACGCTGATCTGAGCAGATGCCTGTGATCCCGGATCCTGAGATCGAGTTCTGCCATCAGGCTCCCCACAGGGAGCCTGCTTCTCCCTCTGCCTGTGTCTCTGCCTCTGTCTCTGTGTCTCTCATGAATACATAAATAAAATCTTAAAAAAAAAAGAACCTTGGGTTTTAGCCTCAGATATGACATAAACAGATGCTGTGATCTTGCTTGTGAAGTCACTTCACATCTCTGGGCCTCAGCTTCCCTGTCAGTAAAATGAGGGAATAGGACATATCCGAATGATCATTACTTCTGGGAAAGAAGAGAGGACATGGGAGGGGGCTTCACAGGGCAAGTGCATCTGTTGCTATATTTTTTCTCTAAAATATCTGAAATAAGCAAGGCAAAAATCTAAAGATTCACAAAGCTGGTTGTTGGGTACATTGCTGTGTGTTTTATTATTTTCTATAATTCTCTGCTTGAATTATTTCATAATTTTTAAATGGGAATATTAAGTTACAGAATTCTCTCTAAGTCCCTTCCAGCTCCAACCCATTCCATAACTCTCAAAAAAGGCCTTTAGGGACGCCTCGGTGGTTCAGCAGTTGAGCATCTGCCTTTGGCTCAGGGCGTGATCCTGGATCCTGAGATCGAGTTCTGCATCGGGCTCCCTCTGAGAAGCCTGCTTTTCCCTCTGCCTATGTCTCTGCCTCTCTCTGTGTGTCTCTCATCAATAAGTAAATATTTTTTAAAAGGGGGGGCTTTAGAGCCCAGGCTTTTCTCTCCAGGCCTTTCCTTCTTTCTGTCCCCATTAATATCTGACTTTGTGTCTCTGCTACAGAGAAGTCTGATTTTCTGAAGGAAAATCAATTCATACTAAAGAGTAAGAGACTGATAGTAATTTAGTGTAACTTCTTATTTCGATCTATACCTCCTATAGGATATTTGCCTGTTAAGTGAATCTCTTTTAGGGGAAATTTCAAACTTCTTATCAGGCCTAGGGGAGAATATTGCAATAAAACTTTTATCTGGGATCTTCAAATGAAGATTCCCCAACACCTCTTTCAAGCAGAGCTAGACCATATTTTACTTTGTGTAATACTTCTATTTCAATACATGTTACATAGTTAGAATATTTACTTATGTGACTGTCTTCCCACCCCCCGGCCCCTGCCCAACTAGACTATAGTCAAAGCAGAAACCATGTTTTATTTTCTTGGTATATCCCAGCACGTAGTAGTTGTTCACCAAATATTTGGTCGATAAATAGTTGAAGATTTAATTCTATGTACAACCAAAAACAGAACTGTGGTAGAAAAACATACTGCTTTTGAAATTAACTGCTAATTTTTCCATTTATTTCTCTTTAAGTAGATATAGATTTGTCTAAAAATCTCCATCAATTAGCCTGCTAGTCATATGAATTTGCATACTGTTGTGGCCACCAAACACCATCATCTATTTCACTTATCAGCACTAAATATGGACACAATAATCCCATTTTCTGAAACATAAATTGAGAGACCTATCTTCTGAGCCCAGGACTAAGTAAAGACTATTCCAAGAAATGCGTGTGTGTGTGTGTGTGTGTGTGTGTGTATTCACCTTGTCTGAATAGGCACTATACTAAACTTTTAATAACACAACTTCACCAATTTAGCCTACCTTAAAGGAGACACCAGGGAACCTGTGGGGAGTGGGGGGAAGGTTTAGTAACCTCACTGGAAGAGTTCAAGGGCTACAAAAGCAATGCAAAAGAAATAAAGTCTGCATCCAAAAGGAAGGCATATCCCACGCAGCCTTGAGCAGCAGTGTTTTACCACTTGGTCAGAGAAAACACTGAACCATCAATGACACTTCAAATCCTTATTAATTCTCTTCCTAGAGTCTGAGTCTCCAGGATGTGACATGAGCCAGCTTTATGGCTGAATAACGATAAAGGAAGAGCACACATTCGTCCTCCCTTCCACCCATTCGCACTTTCCTAAATGCAGACACTACACATCTGGGGAGGTGGGCGCCAAAGCCCCCAGTGCACTTGCTGGCTGTTCCCCGGACCACGTTTGGGGCTGGCCCAGCCACCCCTGGGGGAGAGCCACCATCCGCAACATATTTTGGGTTTTGCCAGCCTCCCCAGGGGGGACAGCCAACCCCCAGCAAAACAGTCTAAATGTTCTGGAGAAGAGTGAGAGTCTCTGGATTCTGGTTCTTTGTCTAGAATCCACCTCCCAGCTGTGAGTCCCAGGAAAGGCACAGCTGCTCCTGTGCCTCAATTTTCCTCACCGGAGTGAATCCCTATGGTCCTGTGAGTTGCTAGAATTTGTCACATCTCGGGTTGGGAGCCTCCGACGCGCTGCCCACCCACATACCTTGTTGATCCTGAACGGGCATTCTTTGGTTTCGGATTCAGGAAATTTCTTCATCCACTTCCCAACGAAGTAGGCAGCATTCACCACGAGGATCTTTGTCTGTTCGCTGACACTGTTGTCGGCCAAGATGTTTTCAAAGCGGCCTGCAAACAGTTGTGGGAAAGCACAGATTGCAGGTTATTCTTCCAAGCTACACCTGGCATCCACACACACGTCTGCACTCGGGTAGTTGTCATGGCGCGTGGTTCCGCAGGCCGGCAGCCTCATTCCAGAAGGGGTCCCCTCTCTCTCCTTGCACCTTGTCCCCAGAACACTTACCAGAGCCCTAACCAGGAGGCAGTAGAGGGGAAGACAAGGAAAAGAAAGGAAGAACAGCCAGAGGAAAAGCAGGAGCTACCGCTTCCGAATGCCCATCCTGTGCTGGATGTTTCCTATGCACGATTTCACCGACTTGTCCCCATTTTACAGATGAGGAAGCTGAGACTTGGTGGTTAAGTCACGTGCCCAAGGTGACACACGAGCAAGGTCGGATTCAGGATTCAAAGCTGAGTCTTTCCGACTCCACAGCCTGTGCTCTGGAATGAAAATGCACGGGTGCAATTTTAACCTCTTCACGTGCATGACCTCGCAGTACTCCTGCAAGGCCCAGATCATCATCCCCATCTTATACTTCTGGAAACTGGGGCTCAGGGAAGCCGAGCAGCCTTCCGGGCTCACTGGGCTGGAAAAGCACATCTAGACAGGCCTGCCCGGCACTCTTCTCCCTGCAGCTCGGCTCACCCTAGACACAGATGCCTGTCTGAATCAAGGTCAGCGCTGTCACTACTGCAGGGATCCAGTCCGCCACAGCCACAGCAGCTCCCTGCTGATAATGCCTTCATAAAACGCGTGAATAGCACGGACATTTTTTCTGAGAGATGTTCAATTACCTAAAACCTTGGGATCTTCACACTGTGGCTCAAGGTCACTTCGTGGACCTGTGACATGTGCGTGCAGGGCTCTGTTCTGGTCTCATGCTCCTCTGTCACCTGAAAATCCTTAATACATTTTTAATAAGAGTCCCTGCATTTGCATTTTGCACCAAGCTTGTGTAACCAGTCCTGCCAATGGTACATGACGTGTTGAATACATAATCATGTTAAGGAAGGAACGTGAAGACCAGAGAAGTATGGGAAATGGTAGGTGATTCTTTTTTTCATGAAGTGACCTTCTCCAGTGAAATCTTAAATGTATAAAGATTTTTTTTAAGCCCTTATAGAAAAAATACCATTATCTGGCAATTCTAGAAGCAAAACTGTTACACAGTAATTCAAACAGCAACTGCTTTTTGCTTATAAATTTTTAAACTGTGCTTACCCCGGTGTTACTTATACCAGTTTTCTCTTTACATAGGAAGGCAAAGAAGCATCATTTCAATAACATATATATATATATATATATATATATACATTCGCATGCATGCCTGCATAGCCGTGGCTACCGCACACTATCTTGGTTATCATATATTATTTGTTACCCTATATATCTAACTCGATCTTCACAACAACCATGTAAAAATTAATCAGGCCCCATTTTACAGTTCAGTAAACTGAGGTTCTTTACCCAAGTGACTCAGTTCAAAGTGGCAGCATTCGGATTCAAATCCAGGTCTTAAATGACTCCAACACCAAATTCTGTCCATGGCCTCACTCTGCAGCTGCCGTGTGGACTGTCATTCCTAAGTTAGCACCGCAACAGGACCCCTCCAGCCATGCCCACAGGAAGCAAGTCCCCCCTGCCCCAGAAGTGTGTCCCTCCCCAGATGGCAGTAGCAGAACCTGAAAGGTCCATCTGTGCAATCACTCCTTCACATTTAGGTTCTGTATCCCAAGGAGTCCTGGGGGGAGGGAGACCCCGATAGGCCCTCAGCACTCAGACTCATCTTAGCTGCAATTCCTTTCTAGCAAGGAGGACAACTCCCAGAGAACTTTAATGGAAGGGGGATGGGCAGGAGAGGAGCCCTGAGCCAGGGGCAGGTCCAGGCAGCTGCAGCAGGAGAAGCCCCTGGACTAACAGAGAGCAGACTGGAGGGGGAGTGGGAGATCTGAGCACAAATTTCCCCCTCTGCTTTATTTGGGTTTTTATGTATACATGTTGGATTGCCTAGGAGCTTTTGTCCTTTTTTCCTTAATACATTTGTAGAATTGTTGAGCCAAAGGTGGCCTTAGGGATCAAGTTAAAGCCCTAGCCCTTTTTTCCAGATTGAGAAACCGGCCAGTGACTTGGACTTGCCCAAAACCACGCAGGGCCTGTGGGAGCTGGTGGCTGGCTGGAGAGCACAGCCAGGTGGACCAACACTGAAGCACCAGGAATTCCTGCCAAGGGCAAGATGATGTAGGACATGCCTAGGAATCCTTGTGGTTGAAATGGCTGGCAGGGCAAGAATTTCGCCTGACTACGGAAAAACATCCGAGGAAGCCTCCAGGTGTTCAATTTTATGCTTTGCAGAAAGATTCATGACAAGACAGGGTCCAAGTAAGGAAAGGATACTTGCCATCCGTGAGATCCTTGATTGACTGGTTTATCTGACCTTTTGTCTCTTCCAATTTATCTTTGAAGTCAACGGTTTCCATTTCCTTGGCATAGGGTCTCTTCGTAGAGCTGATGAACTCCTGAAAAACATCCAGCTCATAAAATCACAAAGTACCTAAAGTCCATGGTCAAGTCATTGCATCCTTCTGTGATTCTAAGTAAAGGATTTGTAAACATCAAGATCAGTGAATACCCCTTCAGAATCTGTATCACTGTACAAATGGGAACTTTCTGTGGAAATCAATGAATGTTCCTCGTATAATTTGGTTCGCTTCTTCAATTCTAGAAGCAAAACTTCCTCCATCAATGTAGTAGCAGCTTTCAGGGAGGGAAAAGGAACACTACACTAAACGTACATAAAAATTTATAACGCAAATTCCAACTTAGAAACATTAAAATGTACATTTTATATATATCTGAGAAGAGAAGAAATGTACAGAAAAGAGAACTCTGTGAATGGAAAACTCCTATCCTCACTGAAATTAATAGACTGTAGAGATTCTTGCTACAAAAAGTATGGTCCAAGGACCAAGAGATCAAGAGCTACAGCATCCCCTGGGATCTAATTAGAAATGCAGACTCTCAGGCCCCATCCCAGACCTACTGAATCAGAATGTGCATTTCAACAAGATTCTCAGGTGATTCTTCTCACATTTAACTTTGAAACACCGTCCTGTAGAGAACACAGCAGTGATTCTATCACAGGCCTGCTGGAAACACAAAACCCCAAAACTCATCCCTATTGATCTTTTCAAGTGATCTGAGGCAGAATTTGCACTTTTAACAAACACCCACGTAGTTCTGATCAGGTGGCACCCCTCTGATCACACTTGTTTCTTCTATTACCAGTAAATTTGCAACTGATATACACCCAGCAGGGGGAAATGGAAAGCAGTCATTTAAAAAATTTCTTTCCAGGCACCATGGTGCCTCAGTTTATTAAACATCTGACTCTCAATTTCTGCTCAGGTCATGATCTTAGGGTCATGAGATCAAGCTCTGCGTTGGGCTCCATGCTTAGCTCAGAGTGTGCTTGTCTCTCTCCCTTTGTTCCTCCTCCTGCTCTCTCTCTTTCTAAAAATAAATAAATAAAATCTTTAATACGTAAATAAGTAGCCTTTAAAAACTTTATTTCAATTACAAGTTTGGTTGAAATAATTCAAAATGTAGAATGGAAGTTCAACCCAATGAAATATATCTGATTGAATGTCCTAAGCACAGGGGCTTCCTTGAATTCCTTCGAAGCAGCTACAGCCTTAGCTGGTTCACTTCTGTTAACAGCAACCCCACCTTGGGACTGAGTATTGCCATCACCTGAGAGAGCTGGGGCCACGGAGAAGATCAGAACCTCAGCAACATAAAGGGCCTTCCCATCCTCACGGCTAGCAATACAATGTATTAAGCATCTCCTAAGGACCACCTAGAGAATTTTTAAAATGTTTCCATACTCAAACCCCAACTCACAACTCCATATTTTTTTTTAATTCCCCAGGTAATTGTTGGCAGAAAAGAAGACTGTATGTATGTCTTCACACAATAAGAATAAAGTCACAATAATACCTAGTAACTCATGACCTCAAAGATCCTGACCAGAAAAACAAACAGCTACAAGAGAAAGTAGTAAAACTATGATAAAATATTTAACTGGCAGTCTCCCTATCAGATGCGGAAAGCTTGAAACTTTGACCCTGCAAACACAAACAGAATCAACTCTGTATCAGTAACGTAGAGAAAGAACCTCTATGTAGTAGTCTAGGAGGCTGGCTATGTGTTTCAAATACAGATTGTAAAAATATTATGATATCCTCTGGGGTCAAATGTCAGGAAATTACAGTGTACTTTATATATGATTCCTTCAAGAAACAGCTGAAATTAAATGCCGAGAGCTACCGTGGATAGATGCCCACATGACCAGCCCTGGAAAGCAAACAAAACCAATTTGTGACTGATTCGAGCAATTGCTATTTTTCTTATTGATTTTTGAGAACCATCAAGAGAACATGGTGCACGTGAACAAATGCGGTGGAGAACTTAAAAGGTTGACCCAGGCCATTTGCCCCGCTGTTTAAGGAGAAAGAGGTTTAAGTCATGAGCTGTCTTGCATCTGTGGAGATACATTTACTAGAGACTTAGTACTCCCATTCTCTACTCCCCTCTGAGGAAGCTAGGAGGAAGAGTGAGATTTAGGCATGTTTGAGAGGAATGAGGGAAACCCACTGCTCCTCTGTATTTTGAGCCGTGATGTGACTGCGAAGTGATTCTAGCTAGATGTGATTCCCACTATCTTCACCCTCTCTCCTTAGAGGCTGCTTCTAGGCAACCAACTTGAGCAACAGAAACCTGAAAAAGGTGGGACCTGCAGGGAACCCCTCCTTCCTGGATAAATACAAACAGGCCCATTAGGCGACACTCTGCAAGATATCCACAAGCCCTAGGCAACCCATGGGTTACTTACACCCAGACATAGGTACCAAGACAGGAAGATTCTATAGGTTCCATACCTCCTCAGCCTGCCCACCACTGCCTCATGGTGCAGTCTCTCCCTTGCTGTCCTGCCTGCCACTCCCTTGAGGTGTGTGCAATAAACCTCTACCTCCTTTGTGCTGCCTTGGGTGAATTCTTTCACCACCAAAGCCACCAGCCTCCACCAGATCGAGTCGCCCGTATTTGGTGCTCCCCCTCCCATCTGATTGAGAGACCACACACACACACACACACACACACACACACACACACATTCACTACTAGGACTGGCTTATTTTGATAAGCCTGAAATCCTAAATGAGCATCCTAGAAGTGAATTTCACTGACAACAATATTGTAGGTCTAACCACCTCTGATAAAAGAGTGGAATTGGGCTAATTGCTTGAACCCACTTACTGTGGAAGGATTCAGAGATTTGTCCACGTAGAGCCGTTTGATTAGTTTCAGCGAGTAAAAGGAACTGAGTTTGTTTACATCCGATGTCACTGTTTGAAATCCAAAGGGTACATCTTTGATATTTTCAAAATGAAGGACCTGTGAGGAGAAAAATAATCCATTACCCAGGAAGCATTGCCTCTTCCTGTTGCAGTGGATATAGGACAATGGTCAGCCGCCTGGAGGGATCAGTACCTCTCTGCTCAATTGTCCCCATAAAGGAAGGCTTTACAACCTGAGTATTATTGACATTTTGGGCTAGATAGTTCTTCTTGGCGGGGAGGGTGGTTGAGGGGGTGCTGTCCTGGATATTATAGAATGCTGAGCAGCATCCCTGGACGACTAGGTGCCAGTAGCACTCCTTCCTTCATTTGTGACAATCAAAAACATCTCCAGGCATCGCCAAATGTCCCTGGGACAGGAGGGAGCTGAACCGTCCCTAGTTGAGAAACAGTGCCATAATGATAGTCTTCTCTTTATTCAACTATGGGGATATGGTGCCCATTCTTCAAAATGATGCCTCTAATGCTCATAACAGAAAGCTTTCTGAACTTGGGTAAGAGCAAAGCTGGGTTATAATTTCTATCCAATTGAGACACAAGAAGAGAGAGACTAATACCAAGAGATACCATCATTAGACAGGTATCAGATTCAGGGAGACAGGTGTCTCTAGCCAGGGTCTTCAGTCCCTTCAGTCAGTCTAACCGAACATGCTGGTGCATCACTGATGGTAGGCAGCTACCATACATGGTTGGCTGCCCTCAGGGGCTTCCGTCAGACAGCCCTGCCCTGGAATCTCAGCCTGTGCTCACTAGAAATATAATCTTGCCCAGCTTTTCAGAGCTTCACTTTCTCATCTGTAAAATTGACTGAGAATACCTACTTTTCTGAGTTGGTATGACCATTACAGACATTGTATGTAAAACACCTAAAACATCATATAGATTCAAAAATGTTACTAATTATTCTGATCATAATGGAGCTCAGTGGTTTGAGCATCTGTCTTCCCCTCAGGTCATGATCTCAGCATCCTGGGATCGGGCTCCTGGCTCAGGGGGAAGTCTGCTTCTCCCTCTTCTTCTTCCCCTCCTCCAGCTCATGTTTTTCTCTCGAATAAATAAATAAATAAATCTTTAAAAACTTTAATTATTATTATTTTGCTTGTAATATTCTAAGTCACTTAAAACTAGGATGCTATCTTCTGGAAGGCTTGAATTCTTCTCTTTTGTTCCTAACTTTTCTTTTGTTCCAACCAATAGCCCATCAGCTCCTCTGCTTCATAGTATTCCAAAACGTGATGTCAGTGTAAGGTGATCCTCCCCTCACTACTAACTCATAATAATGGTCCTGATTGCCCCACCTCAGGTAATGTCACTAAATGGGCACATTATGCCAGTGACTCACAAAGCCTCAGTACTGCCCAGTTGAACTGGCTGGTCCAAGGCAGTACATAACTCTCAGGCCTAATGACAAGTAAAAAGACCAGAAAATTAAAGAACCCAGGTAACCACTACCAGGAAAACATTTGCAGGAGCTGAAAAGAGCTTTATTATTATTCATGAGAACAGACCCACTACTGGGAGGTTCTCTTTATCATTCCTTCTCTGATGGGAGATAAGAAAGGAAAAAGGAAAAATGGGGTAGGGATGGAGGGGTGGGGGAGTCAGGAATGAGGGGTGCATGAGAAGAGACAGCTCTTCTGCCCACAACTCAGTTTTGAGTGTAAGTTCTTCATCCTGACCCAAATAATATTTTGTGGGTCATACTTTCTGGAGATTCATATATATAAGAAGATGTTCCTTTTAAAAAAAAAAAAAGATTTATTTATTTATTTATGAGAGAGAGAGAGAGAGAGAGGCAGAGACACAGGAGGAGGGAGAAGCAGGCTCCATGCCGGGAGCCCCATGTGGGACTCGATTCTGGAGTCCCGGGAGAAAATCGCACCCTGGGCCAAAGGCAGGCACTAAACCGCTGAGCCACCCAGGGATCCCCGAAGATGTTCCTTTTTTAAGTGCTTGTGAGTTAATAGGAAAAAAATCTGTTGAACCTAAAATGATTAACATAAGAATAATACTGGAATGGAATTAGAAGCACATCCACCCAGTATCTAAGAGGGGAAGATGAGTAAAGGAAAAAATTTCCAGGCATTAAATACATAATTCATGGGAATGTAATATACAGCAGTGTGACTGTAGTTAATAATACTATATTGTATATTTGAAAGTTGCCAAGAGAGTAGATCTCAAAAGTTCTCATTGAAGAAAAAAAATTTTGTTACAAGGTGCAGATAGACGTTAACTCGACTCACTGCGGTGATCATTTCACAATATATGCAGATATCAAATCATTATATTGTACACCTAAAACTAATGTTATATGTCAACTATATCACAATGAAAAAAATGAAAAACCAAAATAAAGGTAAATGACTACTTAAAATGTACTAATCTGGAAGATCACCTCATTTGAGGGTCTAAGGATTTTACAAACCTAGATAATCAACCATACCCAAAAACAGAAACTCTAAAAAAAAAAAAAAATACACAGGCACACACATGTACAGTCACATATGCATACAACTATATACTATGGGGTAGGAGGTGACATCATTTTAATCCAATCTTCTCAAATGGGATACTCAAGCCCCAGGGAGTATTCTGAAACATAAGAAAGCACAATCATCTTCTTATTCATCCCTGTTATTTGAAGGTAGAAAATTTAAAATGTTATTTCTGTATCAACATATAAGCACAGATCTATTTAATATGAATATATTAATATAGGGTGGAATGTACTATAGAGTAGAATGCAGTTGAGCCTACATCTTAAAATAAAGCATGATGCTGTAAATAAATTTCATGCATAAAACAAGGGGTATCTGCAGTGGCACATTTAACAAACACCATCTTGATTGATCCTTATAATGTAACAGGTAGACTTGCCGAAGGCCATCTGTTAGTATAGATATTGTGATTCCCTAGCCGGTCCCAGGTTCTCCATCACAACGTGCTACTTGTAAATGTGGGTTGCAGGACCGATTAATGAACTTTCACATTTAAAAATTGATTAAGAGGGTGCTAGCAATGGGACAACTCTCAATCCTGAGTAATTTTCTCCAAGAGACTCCATTCACTTTCCCTAGGCATTGCCCACATGTTCTAATAACCCTTTTTGTACTCAAAGCAGAAACAAAGTATGGAGCTTACCTGTCCAATTTCATTTGCTGTGTCACCTTTGGCACCTACTTGAGCAAGTGACAGAGAGGTGGAGAGACAGATTGGAGAGAAGAGGACATTGCCCGCTGGCTCCTTTTCACACAGTTGTTTGAAAAGGTCAACTGCAAAAGCTGAATTTGCCAATCGTAGAGCATCCATTGTGGGCCTGGAGCAAAGGACAAGGATGAAGTTATTTCTAAAGTGTCTTTAAGGGGCACCTGGGTGCTCAGCCGGTTGAGCATCTGCCTTCGGCTCAGGTCACAATCCCAGGGTCCCAGGATCGAGTCCCACGTTGGGCTCCCTGCTTCTCCCTTTCCCTCCTTTCCCTCTGTCCCTCCCTCTCCTGCCCCTCATGTTCTCTTTCTCATGCACACTCTCTCTCTTTCTCAATTAAATAAATAAAATATTTAAAGCATCTTTAAGGTGTTCTCAATTACATTCTGCCAATGCAACAAGAATTCTCACAAAATGATGGTGTTGGGTAGAAGAAGGAACTTTCAATAAATGCAAGTTTAAAAGCCAATGGGAAAATGTCCTAAGAGCTGAATGGTCCAGTATGTGAGATCCTCTGTGTGTACTGCTCTGCCCGGAATTTCCAAATTCAGGCCTATTCAGCCACAAAGGCCATTGTCAGGATCCTGGTATTCATGCCTCTTTCTCAACAAGTGGACCAAACAGTTGACAACACTGATCAAAATCCATTGGTTTTCTTTACCAATTTTGTGTCAATTAAGATTTAGGTTAAGCCATATAAAATTGACATTTTTGCAGATAAAAAACAGTCAAATCACAGCAGTTCTGCATGGTTCAACTTAATATTCAGTAAGTATCATGGTAACTTGAACTTTCTAATATTTAATAAATAATATTTAGTAAGTTCAAGGATATGCTGAAGTCCCACTTCCTGGGTACCCGTGAATGAGATCTTATTTGGAAATAGGATCTTTGCAGATTTAATCAAGTTAGGGTCATTAGGGTGGCCCTAATCCAATATGACCGAAGTCCTTGTAAGAACAGGAGAAAAGACACAGCAAGAGACCTGTGCAAAAGGAAGATGGTGTGAAGACACACAGGGAGAAGACCACGTGACAGCGGAGGCGGAGATCGAAGTGATGCTTCTACGAGCCAAGGAACCCCAAGGATCACTGGCAACATCAGAAACTAAGAGAAAAGCATGGGACAAACTCTCTCCTATGGCTCGCAGAGAGAGCAGGACCCTGCCAGCTTCTTGATTTCAGATTTCTGGTCTCAAAACTGTGGCAAAACACATTTCTGTCATTTTAAGCCACACAATCTATGGCACTTTGTTACAGCAGCCCCAGGAGATCAGTACAAGTAGTAATGTCTTCGTAGGGCACCTAGCACATAGTAATATTTAACAAGTAGAGCTGTTATTTTTTTTGTTGTTAGTACATACCTACCATGTGGAAGACACGACCCAAAGTATTAGAAGTATCAACTGAGTCCCTCCTCCTCTGAGTCTGCAATCTCTCTGGACAGATACAGAGACAAATAAGTAGAATGTGGGGCTGCCTATGCCATGTGAGCAGTGCAACAAGTAACATAGGAGGTAAAGAAAAGAGAGGAGGTGGGTTCGGCTAAAAATATGGAGAAAACAGTGACCAGGTGCCTAGTCTTGTCTCAGGACTCTTATTCTGATGCAGGATCTCTAAGTGGTGTCCAGAGACCCCTGGCAGCCCCTGAGACCCTGTCAGTGGGTCCATTTTCAGGGGCACCTGGCTGGTTCAGTCTCATGGTGGAGCATGCGACTCTTGACCCCAGGGGTTGTGAGTTCGAGCCCCTTGTTGGGCACAAGGATTCAATAATTTTTTCTTAATTTTCATAATAACATATAAACATTGTTTGTCTTTTCATTTTCAATCTCTCACAAATATGCAACAGAGTTTTCCAGAGGCTGTTTGGTGTGTCTTCTCTTAAACCAAATATTAAAGAGATTTGAAGAAATGAAAAAACAATGTACTCTTCTTTACTGCACTTTTTTCCTTTATAAAGTGGTTGTTTTTCATAAAGATACGTGATTCGTGCTAATATACCATGATTACATTATCATCATTTTTAATAAATTAGTAAATATTTCCAAAGCTCTCCAGTTTTAATTTCTAATTTGGGAAATAGTGATAGATATATGCGACATCAAAAAAAGAAAGAGGTAGAAGTCTTTATACTCTGGGAAATGAACTAGGGGTGGTGGAAGGGGAGGAGGGCGGGGGGTGGGGGTGAATGGGTGACGGGCACGGAGGGGGACACTTGACGGGATGAGCACTGGGTGTTATTCTGTATGTTGGTAAATTGAACACCAATAAAAATTAATTTATAAAAAAAAAGAAATAATTCAAATCAAAATCACTTTAGAAGTTGTTTAAAAAAACAAAGTGGAAGGCAATACCAGTCATTCATTTTGATCGCTCATTTTCACTCAATGGACTGTCATATGCAATGTCCTTATCTGATAAAATTTCAATTTAGACAATCCCAGTCTTTCCCTTCATCATCAAGTTCTGGAAAAGAAAGCCTACAGCAGATGATAGTATATTTTCAAGTAAGACCTTGTAGTAGCTTCTCCCACAATCTTTGTATCCGGCCTTAGATACTTCCTAGTCATAAAATGGAAGTAATTTATGTAAGAAACAATAAATACAATGCTTTATTTTTCTTAAAAAAAAAAAAAAAAGAAAGAAAGAGGGATGCCTGGGTGGCTCAGCAGTTGAGCGTCTGCCTTTGGCTCTGTGCATGATCCCAGGATCCGGGATCGAGTCCCACTTCGGGCTCCTCGTGGGGAGCCTGCTTCTCCCTCTACCTGGGTCTCTGCCTCTATCTCTCTCTCTCTCTCTCTCTCTCTCTCTCTCTCTGTGAGTGTGTGTGTCTCTCATGAATAAATAAATAAAATCTTTAAAAGAAAGAAAAGAAAAACAGTTCTTTGGGATCTGCAGTAATTTTTAAGAGTGTTAAGGGGGTCTTAAAATTTAAAAGTTTGAGAATTCTTGTTCTATTGAAAGGTCCACCTCTCTGTCCAATCCAGTAGTGAACGATCAAGCCAGAAGGCACCTGGGTAACTCAAGCAGTCAGGGCATAACCCTTTCTAGAACAGAGCTGAGCTGCATGGACTCTCCAGGCTCTCCCTAAGCCCAGGGTAGAATGTGTCTCAGGGTCATAGAAGGATATTACGAGCCCTGGCTGACTAGTGCACAAGCCAAGGCTTGAAGCATACCCCCAGAGCCATCGGGCACTGTGCAGTCACGCACACAGACACAAAAAGCAAACATGACATTGAAGGACTTTTAGTAGGACATGCTCCCTGGCATCAGACAAGGTATGTCACCACTCAAGACGGAGGGCTTCCTTCCAACAAGACCTAAAGAGCTGTTAGAGTCAATGCATGGATCGCAACTATGTACCTTAACCCCAAAGAGAAATTCAAAATTCAAAGATGCAAGGATAAGAACAAGGAATGTACCCCTGTCCTACAAATATGTTTTCAGAATTCTATCTTTTCTGGGACATGTAGTTTATGTGTAGAATGGATTTAAAAAGATTATAATATATCTTGGAGTCTGTAAAAGCAAATTCATTAGCAAAAAAAAAAAAAAAATGTTTTGTTGACCTGTTCGTGCTCACTGGTCATCTCCAGTGATTTCTTCCTCCTTCGTTTGATGTCCCTGATAAGAACAGTCAAGTGAGCTGAGGTCCATGTTCTCACTGAAAACCTACCACCAGGTAACCTTAAATCTAACACGTCTTTGAGGCCCACCCCCTTCTCCTCTCTCTTCAGAGGTGGGGTCTGTGAGGGATGACCTCGCACTCCCAGGAGAAGCAGCCCAGCATCAGGTGTGCAGAGGGCAATGAGACAGTAAAGGAAATGTACAGGGTGTTTGGACCAGTACATCCACTGGGGTAGATTAAAAGAAACTTCACAAAAGGTTTGGGGAATCTGTGTAACAGACTTTTAGGACAAGAAGTCTGGCTTTCTCCAACAGCAAGTTGAACGTTGATGGTACTAACTTCATCTACAGCTAAAATTCAACATGAGTAATTTCCCCACCAGAGAGAGATGCCCAAATGAGCTATTTCTTCCACAAAAAGAAAAACCTAATCCCAGGTCACTGCGAACTTCTCAAAGCTTTTACAACCTGAGACCTAATCGCATTAATAATAATATGAAAACATACCAACTCTGCTTAAACAGACATCAGTAGTCCTTTTGCAGCATGTATTTCCTACTGTCCCAGAAGAGAAAATAGAATCATTTTGCATAATTGATAACAAGTCTGATTTCTTTTGTGTGTGTAAGGCCTTGGAGTAATCTGCTAAGAGAATTTTGACTGCAAGCACCTGGGAGTGAATCAAACGGTAAGGAAATGTCCATTTTGTTTGAGTGAAGCACCATTCTTTCATGCTTTATGGCATTTGAAGATAAATTTAGTCTAAATGGTTCTATGTGAATACAAGATCGTGGTGGTTGATTACACAATATAATTAACACTGTGTTGCAATTCAAGCCTTAGAGTCAGGTCCCTGTTGAAAAATGCAAATCAGTGCATGTCTATCAGCTGAAGCTTTCACAACAGGGGCAGACCCTCCCTTTTAAGACTGTTCCTTTGCATGAGAATCCTCAGTGCAGGAGTCCAAACAGGTGTGCCTTCTTATCCATGTGCTGACAAGCTCCTTTCTCAAAAAAGTCTCCAAAGTTTGGGAAGGTCATGCAGCTCTCAATATTTGAGGTCCCAGAGACAACAACATTGTTTGATGCTTGATAAAGGAAGCAGAAAATGTCTGTACATGGAAATTGTAGGGACAATCACCAAGTAATCAACCAGATGCTGCATGGTAAATTTGATCATTTGCTTGGTGATTAGTACTAACTGACCTAAAACACTTACAGTCGATCTGGTCTGAGGTGGATCCAAGGGATGACTTTGGCCACAGCCGATTGCCACCTGAGTCTGCTGCCAGACAAAGCATGCAAACAGTTCTCAACAATGTTAGCAATACAAGCCCAGGAAAACACACCAGGTCCTACATGGACAATTTTGGGTCACAAATGCTATAAAAATTATGGGTACAAGAGTAGAGATTAAAAAAAAAAAAAGAGTAGCGATAAGCAAGTTTTACATAATAAACGTACATGTCTAATGACCTGTGCTCAGAGTGCTAACATCACTGCAACTCTTTTGGTTTTGTTACAGAGAGGACTTCTTTCATTTTCATGAAAACCCCATGACAATTATAACAAAGAAAATTTGCATTACAGCCCCAAAATAGAAACCACTATCTCTTTTAGTCACTTAAATCTTTAAAAGGCACTTTTATCTTAACCAGAGAAAAGGGAGATGGAAATTTAAGAATAAATGCAAATGCAACAAATAAAACGTTTCCAGAATTTACTGCCAAGTTGCCTGTTGTGTGCATTGTATCCTAAAATCATAAACCTCTCAAGTGGGACAAGATCTTGGAATGGATCTAGTCTGGCTCCTCCCCTTCGTGTTACAGATGAGGAAAGTAAGGCGGGCAGAGATGAAGTGATTGTCCCAGGCCACCCACACGGAGAGTGAGAGTGGAAAAACCAGACCTTCATTTCCACCAGCTGCCTGCTGGGTACTCCTCACCACACCTCATCACCTTCCCTCTCAGTGATTGGGTCTTGGCTGGCATGTGTTCTCTCAGAAGTCTTCTGAGTTCCAAAAATCCTACATGTCCTGAATTACTCCTTCAGAGATACCAAGAGACTTTGCACATTTTTTTTAATCAACACAAAACTTTTTTCCCCATTTTCCAAGAAGCTCTTGTTTGTTTTCTGCTATTTACATTGCAAACTATTCATCTGATATTTCTTTCACTTAACAAGTGTTAACTGCATCCCTCATGTGTGTCAGGCACTGAGCTAGACATTAAGAAATCACAAGTGAACATGCACATGGTTCTTGCCACTGTGGACCTGTCTGTCATGTGGCATGACACATGTGATAGTGTGATTAGCTTTTGGATGGTGGCACAAGTTACTGTGGGAGCCCTCAGGGGAAGCAGCTCACTCACAGTAAAATCTTAGTGAGGTCCCCCCAAGACAGTAATATCCAAGTAAGTCACATGAAGGAGAAGTTAGCCATGCAAAAATGTGTGCCAGAGAGAATGGACCCAATTCAGAGACTGCAGGTAATCCTGCGATAGAGACACACACACTAGGATGTGAGCAGTGTGAGTGTGCTCACTTCTCTAGACCTATAAGCTGGTTACTGGCTCCTGCATAAAGATTCCTATAGTTTCTAATGCATCTAAGCCAATGGTCCTCAAACTTTTCATCTGTAGACCATTTGAATGAGATAAAGACTTTATGGATAAGTTGACCTATGCCCTTCTTTGCCTGGGACAGTTCTGGCTTATCTGTGTTGTCCTAACATTATTAGCAAGAGTGCTCCTTCCACACTCAAACATGCTGTATTTGAACAAGATAAGTCCACCCCACCTATAGATCCATTCTTCTATGTGCATGTGCATATGCATACGCACATGCACACGTGGGTGCATGGCTACATACATAATTTTTTCATTCCTTAAAAACTATTTTTCACTATGTCATGTTATTGTGGATATCATTAGGTCTAGCTAGCCTCAGTTTACCAATGAAGAAAAATGTGATGGAAAAAAATCTCAAAGTGTTTGGTCTAGCCAATCCCTAGGCAAGGTTTTTATAACTATAATGGAATGCCTAAAAACACTGTCTCTGCTGTCTACACTCATAAAAAGAAAAAGTCAGAGGCAGATTAAGAAAATGGGGATCTTGCAGCTTCTGCAGTGTGAAAAGAATCTCATGAGGATTAAATGAAGTTATGAAATGAGTAGATGTTTGTGCAAAGTGCTTTGTTAGCAGGAGAGGACAACTCAGATATTAGTAATAAGGTCAATTACTTAATTGCTAATGCCAGGGGAGCCTCTGCTGTGCTCAGATACTCTGTTTAAAAGCCTGATCTTCACCACTGAGCCTTCCCATTGCTGCTTAACAGTAAACTAGAGTTGGGCTTGCCGCACCAGAGTAACCGAAATTGCTCAGACTGCATATCTTCAAAGTCAAGCAGAGGGATTGAAGTAGCAGGATTCAAGGCGTTAGGAAGCAAAGAAATAAACCTGCTGAGTCATATGGAGAATCCTTTCTTCAGGCAAGCTTCCATCTCTCCACCCATCAAGGAACCCATCAAACACTTGCACATTTTGATGGGGACTGATGTGTGAGACCTGCTTGATTCTATTCAAAACCCATTTGGTAATGCAAAGGTGAAGAAGTTATTAAGAGTACCTGTGGGGTCGTGGAAAAGTCCACAAGCTGTGAGTCTGAAGGCCTGGATTCTACTTCATCTCCCCACTAATAAGCTATGTGACTGTGGATACCACTTCACCTCTGTGAACCCCCCCCCCATCCACAAAGTGAAGGGCTGAGCCAGAGTGTTGCTAAACCCTCAGCTCTGTGAATCTGTGCCTAATCTGATTACAAGCCAGCAGAACAGCCCAGCCTGTTAAATTGATCTTTAGTATGATACACGTCAATGAAGCCATAAAAACCATAGTGTCTATCAGGAAGAAATTATGAGCCAACCTATTTGAAAGTTGCCCAAGAACACACATTTGAAATATGCAACTTGTTTCAAGTGTCCTGAAACCCAGAAATAGGAAGGGAGGATACTCCTCACTTGGAAGAACATAGTTGCTAGGAAGCGCACACTGACTGGGTACTTAAAAATGCCAAAAAGAAGAACCGTTCCAAAATCAAACTCTGACCCAACCAGGAAGGAGGGCCGGACCCCCAAATGCCTTCAGAGTCTCTCCAGGTTTTCAGTGCCATGCCCTTTCTGAAACTACTGTTACAAAATTCATTCTGAATCCCCACACAGTGCTAAAAAGGTCCTCGGAAAGACTTTGCCCTCCAGAAATCACTGTTGCACAGCCGCCCCCGCCCCCCCCACCACCACCACCCAAACTTCCTAGCCATGTTATTTCTTCATATTCATAGCTCATCTGGCTAAGTGATTTCACTCCCTACATGGCATTCCTGGTTTCCAAAGGACCAAGAGCTCAAAGTGCTGCCCATGTGGGGACGGCAGGCAGCAGCACTACAGCCCACAGCCTATCCCTGATAATAACCATTACGTCAACTTCCTTCACCACCTCAAATCAGCTTAAATCATTATTTTGTTCTAAGAATTTTCCCAGAAGAGAGAATCACCAGCCTTGCTACCACACTTTGCTTACCTGGAGTCACAGTTATCCTGGAAAACGCACAGCAAGGGAAAAAGAAAGTGAGGGCTGTGAAAGGACCTTGATGTAGGAGCAACCCTCTGTGGGGCAGAGGCAGGACTCACTCACCTGAACCGGCACCACTCCCTCTGTGACCACTCCCAGCCTGCCCTCTTGCCGCCCTCCCACTTCTGCTCTCCCAGCTCTTACTCATGCCTCTTGGCAGCTGGTCCATGACTGAAAAAAATGATTCAGGCTGAAGTTGCTGTTGTCTGCACAGCTTCCAAAGGCCTCCAACATGCTCAGGCAAGAAGGGCTGTCGGTGGATCCTGCCTTGGGCTAATACATACATACATACACACATAAGGGCAACCCTGGTAGGCCACGTGGGACCAGAAGATGAAATATGATATGAAATAGAAGGAATATGTGATGGTCCTAATGATTCATACTTCTCAAATAGGGTGGTGCCCCAGAAAGCTCCCTAACCTCCACCTTCCCACGTAAACTGGAATCGCTCATACTGCTAGAATGCCAAAGAGGTACTACCTACTAAACAGAATGGCAATCACAAAAGAAGAGGGAATATAAATGAAATAAATTATGCTTAGCAAAATATGTACTACTGAATTGACAGGACAGAGTGCCTGATGAAGTTCCCAGTGATTAAGATGACACAGCTCTGCTGTTTGTGGAGCCTTGCTCTGTGCAGATTCCAGATTTCCTCCCTCCCTGTGGCTCCTTCATTCGGTGGGACCTACACCCTTCCTACCAAAATTTCTTGGCAAAGTACCCGCAACTGAGCCAATGGCTTCTCTGCTCTGCTTCCTAAGATTCCCTATTGTTCATATACTACACTCTTTCATGATCATCTGTCTATTGCATAGTCTTTCCTATCCAACTATGAGAATCTTAAAGACCAAGCCTCATTCATTCTTGTAACACCAACACGTGGTGCAGACTTAATAGACAGTATACGGTCAATAAATGCTTGTCTAGATGAATGAGAGCACCCCATTTAGCCAAACTAAGTTTGATTGATAGCTTCCCTGGTTATTATTAACCAGGATCAAGTCATAAACCAAGTGAGTTGAACTCTGAAAGTGGAGCAAATGGAAGTAAGAAAACTATAAGAGGGTGAGGTGGGCAGGATGCCATTCAAAAATTACACTCTCCAGGTGTCGTGGGAAAATGTGGGTTGAGAGGCAGAGTCAGACATTGGGAAACTCAATGCCTCTTCTTGCTTGTACTATCCTAGATAAAGCACCTAATCACTCGGCCTCAGTGTCCTCATTTGTAAAATGAAATACACATATACATGAAGATACAATACATAGGAAGCATCCGACACATGGTGAGTGCTCCCTAATGATTATCATTTCACCCCTTTGCCTATTCCTCAGGCAGGCACAGGCTCGGAATAATCACAATGGCCAAAAGGCTGGTGCGGAATAGTCACATCTAATTCACTACAATAGTTTATTGAATAGCAGCTGCATGCTTGCCACTGTGACCCAAAGACTTTAAGAGACTTGTGCTTATATCAGAGAGCTTTGTCCGTTCTCCCTTTTGATGTTTGAATCCCCTCTGCAACACTCCTGCTCAGTGCCTGTCAAACCTGGACAGAAATGCTTCCAGCAACAGGAATTCAGCAATGCCAAGGAAGCCCGAACCGAATTCTGACTGCTGGAAATAAATATTTCATTACAAATATTTAGTGGAAAGTGATATGGCTGTTTGTAGGAAGTACCATTTGTTCTATAATTGCCCAAATAAGTTCCAATTTCCTTCTCTTTCATTTGCCACAAAGCCATGTGATGGACTATGCATTAAAGAGTAGACTTTTTTGAGAGAGAGAGAAATATAGCTTAAAGAATGAATTATCCATTCAGTCATCAGTTTTATCAGACATAATTTTCTTTAATTCAACAAAAACAATCATCAGTCCAAATATTTAATAACCTAGGAGATGGTTTTGTTGGTGCTTTTTCTTACCTATACGCTGAAACAGTGCAAACATTACAACTTGATTACTCAGCATTTTGGCGGAGGGATGGCTTGACACACCCGGCCACTCCCAGGAACCATTCAAAGGAGCTTTGTTAAGCCTGCTTAGAATTGTCTCTCTCTCTCTCCCTCTTTCTTTCTTTCTCTCAGTCTCTCTTTCTCTCTCTGTCTCTCTCTGTTTCCCTCTCTGTCTTCTCTTCCAAGAAGATAAATTTCAGTCAAAAATTCTTTTTTTTTTTTAAATTGGAGTTCAATTTGCCAAAATATAGCATATCACCCAGTGCTCATCCTTTCAAGTGCCTCCCTCGGTGCCCGTCCCCCCGCCCACCTCCCTTTCCACTACCCCTTGTTCGTTTCCCAGAGTTAGGTGTCTCTCATGTTCTGTCACTGTTTCTGATATTTCCCTCTCATTTTCTCTCCTTTCCCCTTTATTCCCTTTCACTATTTTTTATATTCCCCAAATGATTGAGACCATATAATGATTGTCCTGCTCAGATGGACTTACTTCACCCAGCATAACACCCTCCAGTTCCATCCACATCAAAGCAAATGGTGGGTATTTTCATTTCTAATGGCTGAGGAATATTCCATTGTGTACATAGACCACATCTTCTTTATCCATTCATCTTTTGGTAGGTACCAAGGCTCCTTCCACAGTTTGGCTATTGTGGACATTGCTGCTATAAACACTGGGGTGCAGCTGTCCTGTCATTTCACTGCATCTATATCTTTGGGGTAAATCCTCAGTAGTGCAATTGCTGGGTCGTAGGGCAGTTCTATTTTTAACTCTTTGAGGAACCTCCACACAGTTTTCCAGAGTGGCTGCACCAGTTCACATTCCCACCAACAGTGCAAGAGGGTTCCCCTTTCTCCACATCCTCTCCAACATTTGTTGTTTCTTGCCTCGTTAATTTTCACCATTCTCACTGGTGTGAGGTGGTATCTCATTTTGATGCCCCCGGCTCTGGTTTTCTTTTTTAATATTCTCCTGGCTGGGGTCTTTTCTGATTCCACACAAATCTTAAGGATTATTTGTTCCAACTCTCTGAAGAAAGCCCATGGTATTTTGATAGGGATTGCACTGAACATGTAAATTGCCCTGGGTAGCATAGACATTTTCACAATATTAATTCTTCCAATCCATGAGCATGGAATATTTTTCCATCTCTTGTGTCTTCCTCGATTTCTTTCAGAAGTGTTCTGCAGCTTTTAGGGTATAGATCCTTTATCTCTTTGGTTAGGTTTATTCCTAGGTATCTTATGCTTTTGGGTGCAATTGTAAATGGGATTGACTCCTTAATTTCTCTTTCTTCAGTCTCATTGTTAGTGTATAGAAATGCCACTGATTTCTGGGCATTGATTCTGTATCCTGCCACACTGCCAAATTGCTGTATGAGTTCTAACAATCTTGGGGTGGAGGCTTTTGGGTTTTCTACGTACAGTATCATGTCATCTGTGAGGAAGGAGAGTTTGACTTCTTTGCCAATTTGAATGCCTTTTATTTCTTTAGGTTGACTGATTGCTGAGGCTAGGACTTCTAGTACTATGTTGAATAGCAGTGGTGAGAGTGGACATCCCTGTCATGTTCCTGATCTTAGGGGAAAGGCTCCCAGTGCTTCCCCATTGAGAATGATATTTGCTGTGGGCTTTTCATAGATGGCTTTTAAGATGTTGAGGAATGTTCCCTCTATCCCTATGCTCTGAAGAGTTTTGATCAGGAATGGATGCTGTATTTTGTCAAATGCTTTCTCTGCATCTAATGAGAGGATCACATGGTTCTTGTTTTTTCTCTTGTTGATACGATCTATCACATTGATTGCTTTACAGTGTTGAACCAGCCTTGCATCCCAAGGATAAATCCCACTTGGTCGTGGTGAATAATTTTCTTAATGTACTGTTGGATACTCTTGACTAGTATCTTGTTGAAAATTTTTGCATCTGTGTTCATCAGAGATACTGTTCTATAATTCTCCTTTTTGGTGGGGTCTTTGTCTGTTTTTGGAATTAAGGTGATGCTGGCCTCATAGAACAAGTTTAGAAGTATTCCATCTATCTTTTAGAACAGCTTTAGTAGAGTACGTATTGCTTCTTCTTTAAACGTTTGATAGAATTCCCCTGGGAAGCCATCTGGCCCTGGACTTTTGTGTCTTGGGAGGTTTTTGATGACTGCTTCAATTTCCTCCCTGGCTATTGGCCTATTCAGGTTTTCTATTTCTTCCTGTTCCAGTTTTGGTAGTTTGTAGTTTTCCAGACATGCGTTCATTTCTTCTAGATTGCCTAATTTTTTGGTGTATAGCTGCACATAATATGTTTTTAAAATCATTTGTATTTCCTTGGTATTGGTTATGATCTCTCCTTTTTCATTTGTGATTTTATTAGATTTTATTAGAGTCTTTTCTCTTTTGTTTTGAATAAGGCTGGCTAATGGTTTATCTATCTTATTAATTCTTTCAAAGAACCAACTCCCGGTTTTGTTGATCTGTTCCATGGTTCTTCTGGTCTCTATTTCAGTGAGTGTTGCTCGAATCTTCATTAACTTTCTTCTGCTGGGTGTAGGTTTTATTTGCTGTTCTTTTTCCAGTTCCTTTAGGTGCATGGTTAGCTTTTGTATTTGAGTTCTTTCCAGTTTTTGAATGGATGCTTGTATTGCGATGTATTTCCCTTGGGATCTCTAAAACAAAGTTTCATACTGTTATTTAATGTAACCAGATTTTCCAATTACAGCTAAATTTTATTCAGCTTTTAACTAAGGTAACTCTCTTACACTAAGGTACAATATTAGTGTGCCTTGGGCTCATTCTAGTGGGTGACACAATAACATGAGATGCATATAAAACATAATGTGTGCTTGTGGGAGACCATGATGACAACAATGATGAGAACTAATATTTATTGAGATATTACTATATACCAGGCACCATTTTATATATTTTACCAATTTGATCCCCACAACTATATGTGATGACACTTGGTCACTTGGACTGAGACTTAGAGAATGTCAGGAACTTGCCTAAGGGTCCCACGGTTGGTGACAGAGCCAAGAATCGAGGCCAAGCCGATTACTTCAGAGTCTATGTCTTGTCCTCTGTGCCATTGTTATAATGCTACTTGGTACATTTGTGAA